AGACCACTGTAAATTACCGGCTGATGGTTCTGTGATTTCAGGTAACAAATATAGAGGAAAGGCCTGTGGTTATGAACTTGAAGTTAGTAGTGATTTATCCCCCTTTATCTGGCACGAAAATTGAGGTAGGCAAGCTTCCTTGCTGCTCACTTCCCTGTTGTTGCCCTATTAAAACTTCGGCCTAGGTAAGCCTCAAGCTCTAGGTTTAGGCCATCTTCTACTACTAGTTCAAGGACTTCAGAGGTCAAAAGAACTCTCATGGCAAAAGCAGGCTTTGGTGCTGTCTTCTCTCATAGGTTTCTTATTTTCACTTCATTTTTGGAGTTTTCCAAATTCCTTGTTTTCAATGAATTAAATATTTTATATTATGTAATTAAGTTTATGTTATTTTGTTATTCTTACGTGTATTCAGCATTTGAGGGTTTTTTTTTTTTTTTTGGCTGGGCTGGTTTGAACCCACCACCTCCCATATATGGGGCCAGCGCCCTATTCCTTGAGCCACAGGGGCCGCCCCATTTGAAGTCTTCTTAACTGGGAATTGTTAGAGTATCTAGGCTGTCTTACTCTTGGAAATGAAATCTGGATTCAAATTTTTGTTTGCGCTTTATGCTGCAGGGAACACATTACTTTGTAGTCTATGCAGAATTCTAAGATGCCTGGCTCTCTCCTTTGTACTCTTCTTTAAGATAGCACTTTCATTTTATGGGGACGGCTACTTGCAAGGTTGGAAATGTACAGATACACTTCCCCAAGGGAAGGGCTCTGCCGTTTCCTTGAATGGCCCAAACATTACTCTTTGTATTCTTTGATTAATGATTGTGTTGATCCGAGAAAAGAATTTGGGTTTGGTTTCTTGTAAACCTAATATTGCGGATTATATATGCATGAATGAGCCTACTTGGTATACCTGTTCTGGCTGAAAAAGGCACTTTTTGTTATGACTTGTCTTTCTCCAGCACCTTGTTGTCAACCAACTCCCCAGTGTTCAAGCTTCAGAAATATCTTTCATATAGAAAGGTACTCTGAAATGTAGCCCTAGAAAAGAGGTGCAGAATTGAAACACAAACCTGCGCTGTTTGCTTGTAGAGGACAATCAGAAAGAGCTAAAATTCTACCTCAAAGAGGCAAAATGTTATGCCTAGTGTCAGAATTGTATAATCTCAGTGTGTTTGTGTGGAAGGTGGAAGAATTGCCTGTTAACTTGTAAACCTAAACCTGCACCCCTAAAGCCAATACATGGCCATTAAGATTCTGCAGACAGTGCCGGCACGGATTTACTGACTTTATTCCTACTTTTGACACACTTGTTGGCATTAACTTTGGCAAAGAAGTTCTAACAATACATTATTTTGCATAGGTCTCTCTTTAATGTGCAGTGCAAGAGGAAACAGTCCCTGGAATAAGGGGAGGGAAAGCTGTAGCTGTACTGTTAGGCAAGTGTGCATCTTTAAAGGCAATAGCCAGAAGCCAGAGAAATGAATCTATCCCAGAGCCATAGGTGACGTGAGACTTGAAGGGATTCTACATTATGGTTTCACAAATCCTTAAAAATAGGCACAAAATGAAGCAGTCTTGAAAGAAATACCTAAGGGGCTACAGCAGCCAGCATAAAGGCTGTAGTAGTAGTACATACCTACGCAATTTGGGGTGATGCTTATCTCTACATTTGGTGATTAGTACAAAGTTTTTGTAAATGTTTGAGAACTTTTTCCGATGAAGCTAAGAACTGAAGGATGAGTGGGACTTAGCTAGGCAATATATGAGGTTTAGGGCCATTTGAGGTAGATGGGAGAGGGGAAGGAAAAGAACATGCGTAAGAAGCCAACCTGAGATCAGGGTGGCTGGAGCATTTATGGAGCAGGAGGGAGCTAAATCTGGTGAAATAAGCAAAGGTAACATTTCCATCTCTAAAAGAAACCACAAATTAAAACTGAGTATTTTTCAGACAGTCTAGTATAGCTCCTTGAAAAACAAAGTCAGGGTGGTTCCATATTTTGCTCATGAGCACATTATATGATAAACTGAGTTTATGGTTAATATATACAAATTTTTAACTTACATAAATTAACATATTTGCCTAATTCTGCGAGACCAAAGACATACATTTAAAATACACTAGTTTTTAGTATAGACTTTACCACATACTGCTTATTTGAGTGACTTCAAATGTATTTTACCACACAAAGCAACATTGTCTTTTTGCGGTTGGGGACAAGGGGTTAGGCTTGAGAGAAAAAAATATTGGTTTTTTTTTTTATTTAATTTAATTTTTTTTTTTTTTTTTGAGACAGAGTCTCACTTTGTCACCCTCAGTAGAGTGCTGTAACATCATAGCTCACAGCAACCTCCAACTCCTGGGCTTAAGAGATTCTCTTGCCTCAGCCTCCCAAGTAGCTGGGACTATAGGCGCCCACCACAACGCCCCGCTATTTTTTTTCTTGCATTTTGGCCAGAGCCGGGTTTGAACCCACCACCCTTGGTATCTGGGGCTGGCGCCCTACTCACTGAGCTACAGGTACTGCCTGAAAAAAATATTTTTAAAAATATCTTGCATGGCAAAATTTCATTCTTGGCCAGTGGCAAAAACTATTTTACTTTTCATGCCTAACTGCTACTGCTGTAGAAGTCCTCTTAGTTGGGTCCTCAAAACTACATTCCATTAGAATTATTAAAGGTAACTAGTTTTTCTTTAACCCACTAAGGCAATCCAGAAAATAAGCAATAAGGTGTGGTTTTGAAGAAAGGCAAATGCTGCATAGATATTACAATGTAGGAAGAAAAGAAATACAAATAGTTTCAAACAGCGTCGTATCAAAGTATAGAACATTAGGAAGGTAGCATTTTAAAAAACAATCCTCTCTAGACTAAAGCATCTCAAGTATTAATGAGGTAGTAAGGGGACAGACAGAAATTACTAAAATCCCTTCTTCTACCTATGACTTAATCACTAAGATACTCATAAAAGCAGTATTTATGAAATTATAAAAAACACTTTTAGGTTAACATAGGAGCTTGCACACTTAAGAAATACTAGGGGAGAAAATGTGACATTCAATTAAATGTAATATGGGCCGGGACAACAATACCAACTCTCACATGCAAGAAGGATGTTGTGTCCCTGACCCATGCAGAATGTCCATTTTCTTGCCTATCAAGAGTATGAAGTCCATGTAACCCAAAGGTGACCTGATGTTACTTAACGCAAACAGTTAGTAAGTACTACTAGTAAATTATTAAATTTAGAAACTTGCTTTGGTATATACTAATCTAAATTTTAAAGTTGTCAAATTCCTTTTGTATCTTGACTATTCAAACATAACCAAATTGTTAAATGGATTTTAGAGAAGGAATCTGGTAACCAAAGACTAAGAGCTTTTATCAGTTATATAGTAATGTACTGCCTTGATCAAATTAGAAGATATTTCAAAAATATACATATGTAAGTATCAAAAGTCTTGAAATTTTGCATTTCTGATAAATAGCAATTCTTTTAAGAATTTAAGAAGACAATCATGGATGTACAAGATTCAGTGGTTCTTTATAACTGAAAAGATGTAAATAGTCAAAATGCAATAGGGGATTAAATAAATTATGATTCAGTCATACAATAGAATAATAAACCAATAAAAATGATGCAGAAGACTATGTGTGACCTGGAAAAGATGTTCAAAATATATTGTTAAGTGAAAAAAGCAGGTTACAAAACAGTATGCACAATATGAGCCCATTTTTATAAAAATATACATATTTAGCAAAGTAAAAGGACAAATGATATATATCAAAATATTAACATTAGTTATTTCAACATAGTAGGATGATTGTTGATTTTGCTTAACTCCCACCCCTGGTTTTCCTATTTGAATTTTCTTTTTTTCTTCTTTTTTTAAGACGGAGTCTCACTATGTTGGCCTCAGTAGAGTGCCATTGCATCACAGCTCACAGCAACCTCACACTCTTGGGCTTATGCAATTCTCTTGCCTCAGCCTCCCAAGTAGCTGGGACTATAGGCACCCACTACAATGCCCGGGTATTTGTTGTTGCATTTTTGCTGGGGCCGGGTTTGAACCTGCCACCCTTGTATATGGGGCCAGCACCCTACCCACTGAGCCACAGGTGCCACCCTGAGGATTATTTTTTAAATGAAAAATAGGAAGAGAGGGAGTTACTAACTTCAGATTAGTCCAAATATGCCACCAAAGGCTCCTTCTGGCAAAAGTAGATTTTTTTTGTTCAGCCTGTATCTGGGAAATTGCTTCTACCTTACAAATTTGAGTGTCCTTCCAAGATTTACATTCACTCAAGCTCCCTTTTAGGCAAAATATAAAATAGAAGTTTTTGATAATTAAAACTTTAAAAAAACCCTCTAGTTAATTAAAACCAAAGGCATAGACGAGAAAATACAAATTTTCACTTTCAAAAAGAAGCAACCCAAGTACATATTACTAAATTATACAAAGTACATTATCTAAGTTTAGTTTATTGCAAAGATCAAGACAGCACACTAAGAGTAGGGGGCTTCTGTGTTAGCCCGTTCTAAGCACTCACTCTGTCCTGAATCTCATTCACTCATCCATGCCAAAGGTCTGACACAGAAGGATGTCCAATGTTTCTTGGCTCCTATAGTTAAATAGGAAACTTGACATTTTAATTAAAAGGTAAAATGAGGACATTTACCATCAGACTATAAAATTCTCTCCGGAGAGAGGATACTATAGTACTTGAGATATGTTTTGAAAAAAATCATATGCCAAATGAAAAGGGCACCATTTCAAGAGCACTGGGAGTACATTAAACCTAAGTGAATCCAACACTCATAATAATGTAACTCAAAAACAAATCTAGTCGTAACAAAAGCTCCAAAAACTAAAACTACATTAACAGGCACAATGGACAGTGTAAACACTGTTAATGGGCACCAAGTTTAATAGGGTAGACAATATTTGCTTCTGCATTCACACTTATTTAATTACATTTTTTTTAATGGTGCTGCTTAAGCTATGAATGTTTTACTGGAAAAAAAATTTTTTAATAAATATGGCAAATCCTAAAAACCTAGTTAGGTTATCATGCAAGATACATAACCAAGACAAACTCAAATTTTTAATAAAGGCAACTTGCATTCAAAATGAACTCTACCCTTATATTTTATTAAAAGGGCAAACATCATGAATTAACCCAGCTGCTTACTTGAATTACAAAAGTAACATGATTCAATATGAAAATAAGAAACTGTCTACAAATCTCTGACAGTAATAAATTGCAATATACAATGCATACAGGAGTCATACAGAGCAACAAACTCTTGTACAAAACAAAAATATTTTAATACCTTTAAAATCCAATTTTTTCTTTAAAATTATTCATGAAAAAGATTCTCAAGTCAGAATTAACACCTCAATTAGTCAAGCATCAGGAAGCTACATTACAGCTATTAATGTACAAAGAGACATCTTTTCACCAGTCATTTCCTTCTGATGTCTCTGCTCCAGAATCATACAGACTCTCGCTTCTCTACATTCTCCATTCCATTTCTTCAGATCATGAAAACTGAATTTGTTGAACACCAGAAATCTAAAGTTAGAAAATTTAAATGGAGCAGAATTAAAGAAAAAAATAGGTTAAAAGTAACATATGCAGGTTATAAACATTCACTGAATAAAAACAAAAGACAAAGAATAACTGCTTCCCCTTGCAGAGCTCTACTCCCTCCACCCAAGGGAGCGACTTTTTAAGAATTTCTTTATTTTTCTCCCACCCTTTATGTAGTATTAACATGTGTATATATTTTTAACAATGAAAAGACTACTTTATACAGTATTTTGAGAAAACACAATTTTTAATAATCTTATCAGGTCCTTAATAATGATGTATTGAAATTATGAGGTCTGACAATTAAATTTGCAACTTTATCCTACAAAAAGTGCTACATATCTCACTGCTGAATATACTAGAGTAACGTCTAAAGTACTGCCCTTGGGAAGCTATGCACCGGTGCTAGCACCTAGTCCACCCTTCAAAACAATTTTGGAACTCTTTTTTTGAAATGACCATCAGAGCTGTCATCCTATAAGATCTTACAATAAATTCACAAACTTGCCACCATGTGCCTACAATGGCAGCACTGTACAAACAACTCGGTAAAGTTTCATAACTTTGATATATCAGTGTCTTACAACTGTGTTTTGTGTCCACACATGGTGGTGTCTTGCTGAAGGGTATTCATTATTGCATGTTTTTGTGTGCTGTTTGACAACAGCATCGATGGTCATTCCAGAGAAAGAGTTCCAAAATTGCTTTGAAGGGTAGGCTAGGTGTTGGCATCAGTGCATAGCTTCCCAAGGGGAGTACTTTGAAGGTGACCATAGTAATATTCAGAAATGAGGTATGTAGCACTTATTCTAGGATAAGTTTGCAAACTTAACTGTCAAATCTCATAACTACCTGTGATAAAAAAAATCCTGGATATAATCAATTTTTAAAATAGTTTAAAACACAAAGACAATACAGTACCTGTTGATATGATGTTGTGTAAACCATAACATTTTGTTGTTGACCATCTGTGGCTATTAAGCCAGCTGGTAACTGGTTAGCTAAAAGACAAAACAAAAAGTTAAAGCAGGAAAAAGACCTACACCTACTTTCTTGGTCTGGACCTTAACGTTGCACAATTACATTAATGTCTCATTATAAATCTGCTACTTATCAATGACATGAAACTTGGGCAAAAATCACAACCTCCTGTTTTCCGCTTTTTAAAAAGTTCTCTAAAAAGCACATTTTTTATATTACATTTTCCAACCTTCTGAATCTTTATATCCCTAAATGTACTTTAGCTACTAACTGCTTGTGTATAAAGCTCCAAAAAAAGAAACCTTGAGTTCAAATTTATTTAAATCACAAGATTTTATATTACACACTACAATTCTCAGCCTTCCTCCTATCTCATGTGAATCTTCACCAGAAAGTAGGAGTTATAGAAATCAGAATTATTTGTGAAAGGTTATAATGTCTGTGGAATTAAAATGTTTTATACTTTACATATATAGGGTGTGAACAAATAAGAACTGTTTAAAATACTGTAGAACTTCCATAGTTGACCACCTCCCTACATTGACCACCTCCTTAAATTAACCTAATTTTCAAAGACTGGACATGCCCCACTGTATCAGTACAGTAGGCCTTGTTCCTTATATTGACCACCTCCATATGTTGACCAGTTTGTTAGAGTCCCTTGGGTGGCCAACTTAACACAAGTTACCCTGCAGTGCTATGTCAGGCTGGGCATGGTGGCTCATGCCTGTAATTCTAGCACCCTAGGAGGCTGAGGCAGGAGGATGGATTGCTAAGCTTAGGAGTTTGAGGTTGCAGTGAGCTATGAGCATATGATCATACCACTGTACTCTATCCAGGGTGACAGAGCAAGACTCTGTCTCAAAAAAATTCAATTAAAATAAAATAATTAAATAGAATAGTGCTGTCAAAGACTCAACTGCTGATATTCCAAAAATACCACTATAGACATTTAGTGTGAATCACTGCTAACAGTCCATACAAACTGTATACTTACTAAATGCCTCTTCTGTGAGCTCTTCACTTAGTCCATCTGTAGCTGTGACTGCTCCACCAATTCCCTTCTCTCCTTTCATAGCCTGGGGAAGAAAAACAAAACAAAAACAAATATAAAAGACTCCCAAATCACTGATATTCAAATGAAATTGTCTTCCAAATGAGAACACTTTCTTATTGCCTAAAATTAGGAGCTACTATTTATTAACACTTCTGGTTAATTGCATTTGGCAAAGCTTTCAAAATGCTTTTTATATAAGCAGTAATCATTACAAGACAGTGTTAGTAATGACCCAGAAAACCTTAAGTATTTATGATAAAAATAAATTTTTCTTACTCCATATCACATTAAAGGGCTATGAGAACTCTACTTACAGATGAAGAGGTCTGAAAAATACTGTGAATATTCAGCTTATGAATTTCCTACAAATGATTCAAGTCATCAATAAAGTATATATATTGGCTCTTGGCCAACTGAGCAGAATTGTAGCAGCAGGTTGAGAGTTAAAACTTCCTAAATGAAAATTACAGTTTGAACTAATTACCCCTAAGGTTCTATCCACTCTAAGTAAGGTTCTATGATACTAAAAATTTGAAAATGTGAACAATTTACACATTCTCTTCCTACTTCAATTATTCCATACAGATACCACTAATTTAATGGGATTCTAACACTGAAGATATTAACTGCAATTAGTAATACTGTTGTGTGAACATTATTTACTTAGTACTCTCAATTCTGTGACACAGGTACTGATGGCCTCACTTTAGGGATGAAGAAACCAAGGTCTAAAGCACTTAAATAATCTGCACAAGCTCACAGAGTGTGCATGTAGTAGGAGTGCGAGTCAGCTCCAGGTAGTCTGGGTCCAGAGTTCATGCTTTTTTTTTTTTTTGAGACAGAACCTCAATCTGTCGCCATGTGTCACCCTCACAGCAACCTCCAACTCCTGGGCTTAAGTGATTCTCTTGCCTCACCCTCCCAAGTAGCTGGGACTACAGGCACCTGCCACAATGCCCGGCTATTTTTTGGTTGCAGTTGTCATTGTTGTTTGGCAGGCCCGGGCCGGATTTGAACCTACCAGCTCTGGTGTATGTGGCTGGTGCCTTAGCTGCTTGAGCTACAGGCACGGAGCCAGAGTTCATGCGCTTAAGCATTACATAACTATGTGGCAGTTAGTAAAAAGCAAAAGAAAATAGCAAGGACAAACTATTTAAGTAGTATAAGTAATTAAGTTCTTCTGAGAAATGTTACATTAATTCACAACAAAATGAATTTTTAAGTAATATATTTAAAAAGTCAAAAGTTAACAGTAGATCTTATTTTCTTAAAAGCATACAGGAGACATTTTATTTACCTCTCTGAATTTCTGAAGGTATAATTTCAGAGGTTCCACATAACTGTCGAAGCCTAAGGTAGACATGGCAAAGAGAATATCCTCCCCGTTGATTGTTTTCCGTTTCTCTTGATGGCATCTTTCACTTGCTTCAGATGTTATAAAGCTGATGAACTCACTCACACATTCTTGAACACATTCTTTGGCATCTTTCGCAATCTGGAGAGTAAAACCATAGGTAAATTTGCAGGGAATATAACAATCACCTTCCTAACAACCTACAAAAATAAAAGGCTATTCAGAAGAACACATCTTTCCGTTTGTGGTTGTTAATCTTTAATTTCTGAAATGTATGCTGATAACATTAACACAATGTTTACTATCAAAATTCCAGCTCTCAGAGTCAGAATAAAACTGAACACGTGAGAGGGAAGCCCTGACAACTATTCACAGAAAACGAATACAATTTCGATATGAAAGAACAATCACTAGGCATTCCTGCCACTACAGACAAAATAAAAACTCTCGCTAATTAAGTCCCAGTCTTGTTTACACACATAGAAAGTAAATAAGAGCGGCATAAATGCAGTCAAGCCAGAAAGTGTAATGTGAACCACATATATATTTTAAATTTTCTAGGAGCCATGTTAGAAAAAAGAAACAAGTAAAATTAATTTTAATAATACATTCTACTTAACCCAATATATCCAAATCATTATCACTTAAACACAGAATTAAGTTTAAAATGAGATATTTAAATTCTTGTCTTTATAGTAAACCTTCAAAATCCAGTGTTTTATATTTACAGTACATCTCAACTCACACTAGCCACATGTCAAGTATTCCATAGCACATGTGCCTAGTGGCTACAGAACTGGAGAGTGCAGGCCTTAACCTATGTAAAGCAATAATCAGCAATTGTACTTTTTTCCCTTAAAACATGAGGAAGATTTCTCCAATTGGAACTTCAGGCTTAGAGACGTATTTTAATAATATCTTGATTTCATTAGTACTTTTGTAAGCTATAATAAAATAACAGCACACTATGCCATAGAAAATTAAAAGGGGTGAATTTTAATTCAGACCAAGTAATGGAGTAGTAACAATGAGTTTTCAAAAGTTGTTCTAAGAAGACAAAGCTACCTAGAAAAAAAAATAAGACCAGCTGAAATGTATATTAATATCTATTATGTAAAAATAGCTATTTCGAAACAACAGGATTTTTTTTTAAATCCTTACCACACCTTAAGCAGTCCAATGACTTAAAGTTGCTACAAGAGTATAGGAATTACAACTTCATATGCCCTAACTTCATAATTCTGATGATGTACCTACTTTTAAAAAGATCTTAATTCTATTTTATGGGCTTCTGATAAACAGGGACAGGAACAGGACAGAACTGAAAATGAAACACTATTCAGTCATTGTGTACATAGAAATGAAAAGAAATACTTGATTTACTAAAAGGCTGAATGACAGAAACCATGTGTATTCACGTAGTTTTACATTTTCCCGCAAAAAAATCTAGTTAAATTTCTCCCCTATATGTTACCTTTCCCGTTTGAGGTATGGCATTTTTCATTATCCTAGCCACATTTGCAATTGGAAGATATATATCTTGTTCTCTGAAACTTTCTTTTGAACCATTTGTGTCTTCATGATCATTCATGCTGTCCTCAGTATCTAAAGAAATAAAAGTATTTAGGTTTAAAGATTCTTAGAAAAAAATTTTTTTTTGCAGTTTTTTGGCCAGGCCTGGGTTTGAACCCACCACCTCCAGCATATAGGGCTGGCACCATACTCCTTTGAGCCACAGGCACCACCCCAGATTCTTATAATTTTTATTTCAAGATAGAAAAGACTATCCAAAATGATCTAGAATTAACAACGCTTCTGGTTCCCTTCTAATCCTTTTTAGGGATTAAGATAAAAATCCTTTTCACAATTTTCACAGGGCCAGAACTAAACTTACTCATTAATTTCAAATTCACTGTCTAGAATTCTTTTATCTTCAATTATGCCTTCTAAAATCCTACCTATCCACTCTCCAAAAAGCTCAGATAAAATCTCCAGAGTACCTTCAAAAGTGACTTTTCCTTTCCTAAAATACTACAAGTGTTTCTCTGCCTTGGCTCTGACACATCTTATAACTTTTGTTAATTCTCATTTCCCCTATTAGATTTTTGCTACTTGATGCTCCCAGTCAGCTGTGTTTCCTAGGACTGGGTATAGCACCTTCCACAGAGCAGGTGTTCACAAGTATTTATTGTATGACTCAGCTATAAAACTTACTCACAGATGGCAACCAATGGTTCTTGGAATATTGCTAGATTAAGAGGTTGTGTGTTTATGGGGCAGCACCTATGACTCAAAGGAGTATGGCACTGGCCCCATATGCCGGAGGTGGCGGGTTCAAACCCAGCCCCAGCCAAAAACTGCAGAAAAAAAAAAAAGAGAGAGAGAGGAAAGAGGTTGTAGGTTTATCCAAAGCCAAGTCTGTATAAACTTGTGCATGTAAAAACAGAAAACTTTAAAAGATTTATATAAACTTATTTATATAAATTTCTACAGAATGGAAAAAGTGGATTTGAATATAACTGACCCAGACTGGATTACTTATGTAGTAACTAGTTTTTAAACAAAGCTATAGCAGAAATGCAACTATTCTTACAAAAAGTCAATTTTCAAATTTTATTTAGATATAACTGAAGCTTTCAAAGTACCAATAACATCCTTTTATGACTAAATGCAGTATCTTATCAGTCAACTTCTCACTCTATAAATACTAAATAATTAGGCAAGGCACTTAAATTGACTCAATTTACATTTTTATTTGTTTTAAAGGATGTTATCAAAACTAATTTACTTGAATATCATTTTTAGGATTAAATAACTAATGCCCACCTCAGGTGCCTTCTAAAAAATATAACTCTCTGTACATAGGTATGAGACATGTAACACCTAGCTATTTAACTCACCCTCTAAAGAACTGTTTTATTTACTGTATCAACTGATTAAGAATTTCTCGGGCTCGGCGCCTGTGGCTCAATCAGCTAAGGCGCCAGCCACATACACCTAAGGTGGCGGGTTCAAATCCCCAGCCCGGGCCCACCAAACAACAATGATGGCTACAACCAAAAAATGGCCGGGAGTTGTGGCGGGCGCCTGTAGTTCCAGCTACTTGGGAGGCTAAGGCAGGAGACTGGCTTGAGCCCAGGAGTTGGAGGTTG